TGGCGGGTGTTTGTGCTCCGGCCAGTGAAGCGAGCTAAAGGGGATGTACAAACACACGGCCCTGAGCAAACAGGCCAGAGCGTGCTGCCCAGGTTGGGGCGGGGGGCTGAGGCTCGGCACCTGGGGAGTGCTCTGCACCCCTGGAACGGCCTGGCACCCTCCCCTGAGGACATCACCCTCTGCTGGCCGCCGGGTAGCACCCTGGTGTGGGTTCCCCGGACCTTCTGAGTCTCCCCCCAACCCCCTCCGAGGAAAGGATCGCCCATCAGCGGATCTCTTGGGCGCTGTGAAGTAGGTCTAGCTGCCAACCCATCCTGGCCTGCGGGGAAAGGCAATTTTGCCAAGTTGGGGCTCCTCTCCACCAATTGAGGTGACAGCTTACAGGGCCTGTACATCTTTATACCACAACCCATGCAACACTGAACCCACTGGGACTCCAAGTCCCCAAAATAAGGTTTCGGTGACAACACATTCCCCCCAACTCCCAGGTTATCATGGAGCAATTATCCGCGGCCCCGCCGCAGTTGTAGGAGACTTGATTCAGATGCTCCCAACGGCGACCCTGAAGACTCCTTTGTCCCCCAAATTAGAATACGGGTGGGAGATGCCAACAGAAAGTGCCATTGTGCTGCTAGCTCGGGGTCACCGGGAGCTGCTCCCACAGTTCTGCTTTTTAAAGGCCTGGGTTGTGTCAGTATGAGATCCAGCTCCGCTCAGCAGAAGCTGCGGCCAGCCCTAGCGCATTGCCCAAGAGCTCCAGGCCAGCCCTCGCTGACCGGCTGCTCAGTCCTCTCTCTGGGTCTGCTCTGGAGGAGGAGCAGCTGTCGGAGCCCGCATCTGAGGCCTCCGGAGGCAGGAGGATGCCCACGGAGAAACCTCAGGCCAGGAGCAGCCGTGGAGGGGAAGGAGAGGACTTAAAAAGTGCTTAAGAAACACAAAAAGACAAGTTCGATCTCCAGCCCTCTTCGGGCCATCGATGGGTCTCTCTCACACTGATGTTTCGCTCTCTTTCTGTCTCTCCTCCTCCTTTCCACTCTTTCTAAATTCCAATGGGAAAAAATATCCTCAGGTGAGAATTAACAACTTCAGTAAAAGTGCTTAGGGAGTTGGCCTGTGTAACTAAAAGAAGGTGTGTGTGTGGGGGGGGGGTCCAGAGGGATGTGGGGTGAGAGGTGTGTCAGGCCTTCCTTCCCACAGAAGACAGTGATTAAGCAGCTCCTTGGGGCCTCTCAACCAAAGGCTGTCACACTTCTGCAAAAGGCCAGACAGAAAACACTTTAGGTTTTACAAGCCATACAGTCTCTGTGCAACTACTTCATTCTGCAGCCACTGCACAAAGGAAGTACGTGGGCGCGGCTGTGTACCCATAAAACTTCACAACACCCACTTCCCTGGAGTGGCCTCCATTTGGCCTGGGGCAGCAGATTGTTGGCCTGTGCTCCAGACCCAAGAATGGGGACCTTAGAGGACCAGCCACCAGCCCCCCTTAAATAGATCCCTGCTGTCCAAACATGTTAACCCTACCAGACCCGAAGCCCTGAACTTAACTGGTCCCCTTTACCCGGGCTCCTGAGCATGAAAGAAAAAAACCAGCATGATATAGAAAAATGTTAGTTACATCCAAACAAGTGGTTAGAATAAGATGGAACATGGAGACATTGTAGAAAATAGGTCTAGGCAAAGTACCAAAAATTAGGTACAGCGGTATAGCAGCGGATTCAGAAATCATCGAAACATCGGTACAGCGGTCAGTTTTCCTGCCTGGTCACTATCTGGCCTGTGTGGCCTTTTACCTCCCAGGGGAAGCGAGGCATTGATAGGAACGCCCCTGCTGTGTGCGTCTGGCCTCCACAGAGACCCACAGGTTGCTGGAAGCAATGGGCCCTCCCCCAGAAAAATGCACCTGCGGAGCACACACTCTGTCTGCACATCATCTCAAGGGAGAGCACAGCCCTTCTCAGCTTATTCGCCAGCCCACACAGAAGCCTGAAAACCCTCGGGGAAGAGCCCTTGCTCACGCAGAAAGAGCTAATGGCTTTGCCTAGGAAAGGTAATCCTGTAGAAAAATGGACACATGCCACAAAGAAGCAATTCACAGAATACAAACTGGCACAACTAAGAGGTGAAAAGATGCTCTGTCTTACTAACAATTAAAGAAAAAAATTTAAATCATGGAATATCATTTTTTTTTTTTTTTTTTTTTTTTACCAAATCAGATTGGCTAGTGTTTGAAAAATTAATGGTAGGGCACTGGAAGGGGTGTGGAGAAAAAGGCACTCTCGTACGCATGGGTAGGATGGCATCATGTACAGACAGTCTAAGCTTTTGGAAAGACCACATGACAGTATCCATTCACATTTCAAACACACTGATCCTGCAGCCCAGCAAGCCCATTTCCAGGAACTTATTTTACAGAAATACATGTACAGGAACGTTCACTTCAGCAGCATCATAAATCAGAGAAATTGGAAACAAACCCAAGTGTCCATTAGTAGGAAGATGGTTAAATAAATGATGGTATATCTGTATTATAGAAATACACGGAACTCTTTAATAATGAGGTAGATCTCGAGAGCTTAAGATAATAAGATAGATTTTCAAGCAGTGGCAGGAAAAGATGTAAAAAATACATTGTTAGCTGAAACCGGTTTGGCTCAGAGCTAGAGCATCTATCTGTCTGCGGACTAAAAGGTCACAGGTTTGATTCCGGTCAGGGGCATGTACATTGGTTGCGGGCACATCCCTGGTAAAGGGGTGTGCAAGAGGCAGCTGGTCAATGTTTCTCTCTCATCGACGTTTCTAGCTCTCTCTCTCTCTCCCTTCCACTCTGTAAAAAAAAAAATCAATAAAATATATATTTTTAAAAATACGTTGTTAAGTGAAAGAGGCAAGTGGTGTCTGGCCAGTGTGGCTCAGTGGTTGAGCATCGACCTATGACTCAGGAGGTCACACTTCGATTCCCGGTCATGGCACATGCCTGAGTTACAGGCTCAGTGTCCGGTGTGGGGGTGTGCAGGAGGCAGCTGATCACTGATTCTTTCTCATCATTGATGTTTCTATCTCTCTCTCTCTCATGTCTTCTCTGAAACCAATAAAAATACATTTTTTAAAGAAAGAAAAAGTATAGTTTTTAAAAAAAAGAATAACATTGGTATCTGCGATTCTTTTTAAATACTGAAGAGATACATTCTAAATGATAAAGGTGGGCTTATAAAATTTTATAGCCTATAGTTTATACTTAGAAAATATTAACTTTTTAAAAGAAGAACATGTTTGTTTTATAATTTAAAAAGAAAACAAATCCTTATGGGCTTACTAGCCTCCTAAGGTTTCTCAGACAACTACAAGTTCATTTTAAAGGCTTTTTTCAAGAGGATTTATGGTATGGTGGTGTTTATCCATTTGTCTTATGCTTTATCGCAGTAAAGCATCTTTCTGCATTTCAGAGCATAAACTCCTCAAGTTCAAGGACCATCTCTTTCTCTTATCCCAAAATTCAACACTGCCATGACCCAGGCATAGAGTGACTAAAACGACGGGTGCTGCCAGGCTTTTAATTTTCCTTCTGATGAAAGATAATGTTCATGCTGTCAAAGAACAAACAGAACCAGGACTCCGGTTACACAGTTTACACAACTGAGTGGAATCTGGCAGTTCTAACAGATTTCCTACAGTTTCGACATTTATTGACCTCTGGGTATTTGAGTGGGGGGAGGGGACATTTTTCTTTTCTTTAATCTACCTGGTTAAAAAAAATCAAAATAAAAAATGCACAGAAGGGTACGAACCACTCTCTCTCGTACCACCGGAGCAGGGCAACCAGAGTGCCCAGACCTGCGTGCTCTGCCCTCCCCGAGCACACCGCGCACATGGCCCTGCGCCACGGCCTTTCTCACCTAAAGATGCCGCCGAATGTTCCATCCCAAGACCCAGACCCAGACCGCTGGTCCTTCCCACCAGGGTAAAGTTAACAAGGCCAAGTGTAGGAAGGGTGACCAGAGGGCATTCTAGGCCTGTGCCTCTGGCTCTCGGCCCGCAGACAAGGGGTCACGGAGGTGCCAGCACCTATCCAAGCTTCCCCGCAGGAGGACCAGCAGTCCCCGGGCTCCCGCACAGCTAACCAAGCGTCCCCCAACTCCTGACTCCTTTGTGGAAAGAGAAATGAGAAACCAGAGTATTCCGCAAATAGCGGTGGTAAGTATTAAAAACTTTTATATGATAAAAACTTTTTCACGGGGAAACCGAGGCAGGCCAGGCTTTCCTGTTGGACAGAAACCTCTCTGAAGAGCCTGCTCTTCTCACTTCCCTCCCAAAGGCCAGCTCTGAAAGGCACCCTGGCCGGACTGGGCGAGCCTGCAGAGCTTCCCTCTCCCTCCCAGGAAAGACGTGTTTGGCTTTCTCTCAGCCTGGGCCTTTCTGCAGTCTCTCTCACCTTCTGTGCCATCCTGGGGCTACCGATAAGGGGTGCTCAGCACCCTGAGAAAACGTCTCCTTCCCTAGAGGGGCTTTCTGTGTCCCGGCATTCCACACACCAAGGAGAGTTGGTGGCCTGCGTGCTCCCCCGAGTTCTCACGCAGTTCTGGGCAAAGGCAATGGGCAGGGGTGGGGAGATTCCGAGCGAGGGCGGTTTGTTTTTAGGTTGCCCTGTCAGCCAGGACTGTCATGGAAAATAAGAGAAAGAAAGTGGGCGGTAGCTTTTTCCCTCCCTGCTCCCGTCTTCCCTGGACACATGGCTAGCAAGCCGGCTTCCTCAGCGCCTCAGCCAAGGCCAGCAGGCAGGGGATGGGCCCGCGCCGAGAGCCAGGCTCTGCTGTGCTGCAGGCCCGCGCCTCCCACTGGGGAGGCCTCGCTGGCTGGCTCCGCTCTCCAGCAGCCCTCTCGTGCTGGGAGGTCCAGGCACAGGCAGGTGAATGGAAGACAAAGAAACTGAAGCCGACAAAAGCTGCCTCAAATTCACACTGCGGGGACGGAACTGAGGTCCTAAAGAAATGGCTACTTACTGTTAATGAGGTGAACGTCATGCACATCCCGCCAAAGCCGTTCAGAGACAGGGAGATGAAGATGAGCACAGAGAGAGCTGTCGGAACACAAAGGCACAGGATCAGGGCACCACGGCTGAGCTTCAGGGAGGCCAGGGCTTGGGCTCTTACAAAAGGTGCCTCCCGCCCTCGCTGGTTTGGCTCAGTGGATAGAGCATCGGCCTGCAGACTGAAGGGTCCAGAGTTCAAGTCCGGTCAAGGGCACAAGCCCGGGTTGTGGGCTCAATCCCGAGTGTGGGGCATGCAGGAGGCAGCCAATCAATGACTTCTCTCTCTCTCTCTCTCTCTCTCTCTCTCTCTCTCTCTCTCTCTCTCTTTTCCTTCCTCTCTGAAATCAATGAAAATAAAATTTTAAAAAAGGTGCCCTTGCCCTAACCAGTTTGGCTGATAGAGTGTTGGCCTGCAGACTGAAAGGTCCTGGGTTCGATTCCGATCAAGGGCATGTACCTTGGTTGTGGGCACATCCCCAGGTGTGCAGGAGGCAGCTGATCCAGATTCTCTCATCGATGTTTCTAAGTCTCTATCCCTCTCTCTCCCTCTTTGTAAAAAAAAAATAAAAATAAATATATATATATATATATATATATATATATATATATATATTAATATATATATATATTTTTTTTAAAGGTGCCTCCCCATCCTCTGTTCTCCATTAACCTGAGCAGCAAGTGAGAAGCAGCTTAACCAAAACCAAAACTACAGGTGCCCCCAAATCAATAGATGGTGAAATTCAAGTCTTATTTTGGTGTTTGTTCTAATCGTCCTGGAAGCAACAGCTTTACCTGAACAGGGTTGGGGAGCCGGTGGCTTCTGAGCTCACGGGGTCACAGCTGACAACTGTGCACACACCGCTGCAGCTGGCCTAGTTCTTGGAACCTGCCTCTCAGGTTGGATCAATGAGGCCATCGCAGACTGGCCTGGCTCAGTGAGGAGATGGGAGTGTCGCACACCCTGGGACCTTCCCTCAGACCACAGTCTGGGGCGGCTGTTCTTTTACCCAGCACCCATTTGAGATAAGCAGCCGGGTAAAGGCCTAACAAGCATCCCCTTTAACTTGAGCAGCGAGCACCAGGCCTGGCACAGCGTCCTAGAGCATTCGGCACTCTCCCTCCCCAGCCCCTGACAAAAGGTGGAGGAAAAGTGTCCTCACAATTTGGGTTACTTGCTCCATATGCAATCAGCAAGCAGGAGACAGCAAAGCAGGCACTGAAAACAAGCAGAAATAATACATTATTTCTTCTTATTATTACTGTTAATACTGTTATTATTTGGGAGTATTTACTATGTATTAGATATTTCAGGAAATTTTATATACCATATTTTATTTAACTTAACAATTCTAAGGAGCATAACTGGCCCCATTTTACTGATGAGAGGGGGAAAAAAAGAAGTGATTTCTCTAAAGTCTCCAACTAGTAAGTGCGCAAGCAGGAATTCAAGCCTGGAAGCCACATCTGGCAAACACCACACTGCACTGCCCCTTCCCGTCCCGACCGGAGGGGGCGCAGGCTCTGAAGTGAGAGTGGGTTGTGCCAGGGGATGGACAGAACATGCTGGGCACAGGCGAGGTGAGTGGCAGGTCCTGAATGCCCCTCAGAAAGGGAATGAAACTGTTCCGCCCTCTGTGATCACAGGGCTCACTCACTGCAAGCCACGCCCTTCGAGATGGCCATTGGAAGGGTACTGGCTAGGGGGGACCGTGGCCTGAGGGGGATGACTGACCCTGAGTCCAGCACCCTGGAACTTTACAGACCAGGGACACCCCCCAGAGGGTACCCTGATGATCCACACAGGCGCCCATGGTAGGGAAAATACTAGGACTTCTATTTTACAACTTTTAATCTCAGCCATCTTAATTTATATGTTTGTATATGTGCCACAAAGCACATAAAAAGCTAAGAATGGCATATGTATATATCACTGATAACTCCATGTGCTTATATTAGAAGTAATTTTGCAAAATCTTTTTTTCTGATAGAGGGAGAAGGTCATAGAGTGTGGAAGCCAGTGTTCTTAATGACAAGAACTCCAGACCTTCCCAGGCAGGCCAGGGGCCTGGGCCTTTTGTATGCAATGCTGGCACCTGACAAGGATCAGAGTAGCCACTGATTTGGTGGCAGAAGGGGTAGAAACCTGGGTGGGCATTTAGGGAGCTCCAGTGTCGCTGACAGCAGGTACCAGGATCTTGCCCTGGGGAACAGTCCAGGGCCCCACACACGTACCTGCCTAGCAGCCTGAGCTTCCTGGGGCCGTACTTGTCCATGACGATGCCCAGGGGCAGAGTGATGGCACTGAGCAGGAAGGAGCCCACGGTGAAGGCTAAGTTTAGCATCTCATCTTGGGCCTTGCAGCTGAGCCAACCGTTCATCCAGCTCACCTCTTCCTCCTGCCCTGACTCAGCCGCCGTGCCGTTGGTGACGTTCTCTGTGTGTGTGGAGAGAGAGGAACCTGGTCACAGGCTCACGGCAGGGATTCCCGAAGATCGGAGGGGCAGGTGCACAAAGTCCCTCCATGGGGAAGGGCAGGGTGGCCTCTGGGCCTCCTGAGGCTTGGGCTACCGCACAGCAGGCCTGGATGTCCATCTGGCCCAGGCGTCTTCAAACTGCGGCCCGCAGAGGAGTCTGATCCGGCCCGCCAGGTTTTTTGGGCAGTGAGCTCAGCCGAGGTGTTACAGTAGGAATTAGTAGTTCATATAGTCCGGCCCTCCAGCTCTCTGAGGGACCGTGATCTGGCCCCCACTTTAAAAAGTTTGAGGACCCCTGATCTGGCCCAAGCCCCCCTGGATGATAACGCAGAGGTTCTTAACTTTGGAGGGGACACAGATCCTTCGGTGGATCCAGTGAAGAAAGCTATGCTCCCATGACTCAGAAAATGCACAAAGTCTTCCCCACAATTTCAGGGGCTCCGTGTGTCCCTTGAAGCACCCATGAGCCCCAGGTTGGGATTCCCGTTCTGGAGTGACCTCAGGCCCCAGCCTTGGCAGCGGGGCCCCAGGTGGGCTAGAGCCTTCTCAGCAGCTACAGAGGGGCCAACCCTGGGCCACGTGGGAAGGGCACGCTGCCGGTCCCACCGCAGCGCGGCGGCGTGTCCCGGTCAGTCTGGAGCAGTGGGCCCCTTTCCTGCTAAGTCCAGTGGACTTCTCAGACATGCAGCCCCTATGCTACCGCCTCCCCTCACATGCTCATGCTATCAGCCACCACACACACTGCAGTGCAGAACACCTTGGGAAAGGATTTTTAAAAATAGTCCCAATTTATTTGCTTTCGCTTGTTGAGACTTTTGACTTTCTAATTTTCCTCCCCAGAGTCACCGCATGTGCTGTCCGAGGCCACACCTGCACTGCAATCCTGGCCCTTCATGGCCGGCTCCCAAGTCCACCGGCAGCAAGACAGCAGGAATAGGAAGGAAAAGTGCTGCGGCAGCTGAAGGCGGGAGGGTGGGGGCAGGCCCGGAACGGACTGGCCGGGGCTGCTCGTTAGGAGATGCTGACTAATCCTGCAGCAAGAGGAACGGCCTCTGATTAGATTCGAGGTAACCCTGGGAGAGACAGGGAAACGCCTCTCTCCGGAGAACCGCGGGCCTCCAGATTGTGGCCTCCGGCGCCAGGGCTGTAAAGCTGAGGTCTGCAGAGGCCTGCCCAGGCCTCTCAGGGCTGCCCCAAGGTCACGGAAAAGGATGCACTTGGGGTGAATCATGCCACGTGCCAACCTCTAACCTGGGGGCACGCGGATCGAGGGTGAGGTGCTGGGTTCCCACGTTGGTTTCTCTACTTCCTACTGGCATGACCTTGAAGAAATGACTTCGGCTTACTCTTACCTAGTTTTTTTTTTAACTTAGAATGAGCGTCATCTATAATAACAATCAGCATCTACCTCCTAGGGTTTTAGTGAAGACAGGAAAATCCAGGTAACATTCTAGAGCTCACACAAGCATAGAAAGTGCTCAGTAAGTAATAGCCGAAAGTTACTGTAATTACTATTATTGGAGGCAAAGGACGGCGGGGTGTGGGTGTGTGTGTGTGTGTGTGTGGGCATGCGCGCGCGCCCAACTAGCAGCAGAGCCTGGCACCGTAACTCACGGCGGCCTTTCATGACTGTGTGTGTGGTGGCGTGAATGTGTGTCTAGTCTCCCACGGGCTGGGGGACCCGGAGGGCAGGGACTGCCTTCTGGTCACCTGAGTCCCCAGCACCTTACGCAGGTCCTTTACAGAGCAATTGTTTCCTGAATTAACGCAAACAATGGACTCTGATCACAGGGCCAAAGGGATCAAGAAAAAAAAAGCAAACAGGATAAGTAGATACAAACTGAAGATAGAGGGGATTTAAAGGGATTAAAGCTACAATGTTAACCTCCTGAAGCTACAGAAACAAAACCTAACCAGCCAGTCGAGCAGGTGTGGCTCAGTGGTTGAGTGTTGACCTATGAACCAGGAGGTCATGGTTCGATTCCCAGTCAGGGCACATGCTCGGGCTGTGGGCTCGATCCCCAGTGGGAGCCGTGCAAGAGGCAGCTAATCTATGATTCTTCATCATCATTCATGTTTCTCTCTCCCTTCCTCTCTGAAATCAATTTTTAAAATATTTCAAAGAAAACAACCACCCCACTCAGCCCACTGCTGTCCAGAAGAGGCCCCACCACATTGGCAACCAAAACAGCCAGCCAGGGTCACCTGAGCCCACTGGACCCTCTCAGCACCATCACACACACTGACAGCCGGCGGCCGGAGCCGCTCGCCCACTGCGGGGCGGCTTCTGGGAAGGCAGAGTGCTCCACAGGTTGGCACTGGCTTCAGGTGTCAGCTCTGCCAGCAGCCACAGAAACTGGAGGTGAAATGGGACGACAGCCACTTCCAGGTTGGCGTGCAGCTGTGAGCAAACAGGACAGGTGTGACAAGTGGATGGGTGGGGAGGGCCCGGGATTGCTGGCCTGTGAGACTGGCTGTGGCCACGGGGGGCCGAGAGCCCACTGCTGCACTCAGTGCTGCAGGGAGCCCGGCCTGGACGGACACCAGCAAAAACGAGACAGCACTCGCTCTGAGGGAGGCACCGGGGTGTCCTATCCACAGGGCTCCCCAGGGAGGAGCCGCAGGGGACCTTACATGCAGGACCGCTCTCACCATCAGAGAGAAGAGAAAATCCCAAGGCACAATACCCAACGCAGTCTCCCTATTTGCTATAACTGGAGATGGGTGCAAGCACCTGAATTGTTTGGAGATCTGGTCACCCCTGTAACCAGCCAGAGGGCTAATGAGGAGACAGGTCAGAGAAGAAGGAAGGGTCTCTGTCCCTCCATCTTTCACTCTAGAGCCACTACCTTCAGAAGCAGGGACCTTACTTTGGGCTGCCAGCCCTTCTCTCCTTAAACCAGTCCCTGCCAAAGGCCGCCTGGCCCTCAGCCCTCCCGCCTCCGGGCAGTGATGTCCAGAAGAGATGAGCCAGGAGCGGGTGGAGGTGAGTGAGTGGCCCCTGGTCTGCCTATGGAGCAACATGAGCGTGCCCCGCACCCTAGAGGGACTAAACCAGCCTGTAGTCCAGAAGCTTTGTTGGCACTACAACTTCCCACACGAATCAACACAGACGCAGCAGGTGCCCAAACACACACTCACACCCAGGCTGCTCCTCTTCCTTGGCTCCTCTCCCACCCGGACCATTGTGGGCCAGGAGAAACACAAATCAGATAAGCACCCAGAAAGTGTCAGGGCCCCGGGGTGCCCCTCTTGTCCCAGCCTACAGCTCGGCCCTCACCAGCCCAGCCTGCTCTGCGCCTCCCCTGCACCTGTTTAGTAAACAGATGACTGCAGTGGGAGGCCAGAGCGGGCTGGTCCAGCCCAGCTGGGGAAGGTGAACCAAGAACACAGGACGGGTGTGGCCAGAGTGTGCTGAGAACAGGCGTAGGACTGCTCGGGAGGACACCCAGGGGCAGGGGAGAGAGAACAACGGCTGTGCTGCTGGGCTTCACTTACCGAAGACTCACATACACAATCTTTAGGGAGTAAGCCGGGGAGAAAGGAGGGTGCTGTGACCCCACTCGGGCTTCTCTGACATCTCTGGGTCAGAGAGGGGGCTCCCCCCAACCCAGGGAAATGAAGGGAGTGGGAGCCTCCAGAATAGCTGGCCAGATGATGCATAAGGGAGCAAAGGGCCCCGGGCTGGGCTGCAACAACCCCTCTACATTCCTGAGCAGCCCTCCTCTGACTTGCTGCTAACAAAGTACCCCCTCCCTGGGCCACCCTGCTGGTGGTCCCTGCCCCAGGACCTCCTGTCTTTCTCAAAGCCTTAGTCTATCCGGCAACAGGAAGCAGCATCTCCAGTGCAGCAGGGGGATGTAGGTAAGAGGTCAGCCTCAGACACAGAGCAAACAAGGGGCAGGACACAGACAGTCAGAGGGCCCTGCTGGGTAGGCCAGGGCCAACCCTTCGCTGTGGTCACAGAGCGCCCGTGTGTGCTGGCTGCTGTGTTCAATGCTATTCGTCCCTGTGTCACTGAGCACCCTCCCACCCCACCCCACATCCCAGGGATTTCAGAACAGGTTCGGTGGCTTGCCCAAGGTCTCACCGCCAATACCCGGGGAAACTGGACTTAAATCCAGGCTCTCAGAGTCCAAAGCTCCTGCTTTTAATCTCCAGGTTGTGCTGATGCTACAAGACCTGGGTTAGAGGCAGTTCTGAGGAAATGCTGAGAGCACAAGGCTGTCACTGTGTTGGGGCTATACCAGGTGGACCTGAATCACCTGATGAGAATGGGACTGTCCCCAAGGCCCTGCCACAAGGTCCCTGAAAGCCAACCCACGCTGGACAGGACCTAAACAGGACACCAAGAAACCAGGAGGGGTGAGCAGCGGATATGGGGGAGAAAAATTAGGTCATGAAATAGGAAGGAGGAGGGCAGGGTTGGTGGGGAGGGTTCAGAGCACAGCTCCTCTCTGTGACACATCATAAGGCTGTGGTCACCAGCCTTTAGACTTTCTTATCCTTTGCTATTTTTTAAAAAAAATGTTTTTATTGATTTAATAGAGGAAGGAAGAGGGAGAGATAGAAACAACAATGATAAGAGAGAGAATCATTGATTGGCTGCCTCCTGCATACTCCCCCCCACTGGAGATTGAGCCCACAATCCAGACATGTGCCCTTGACCAGAATCGAACCTGGGACCTCCCAGTCCACAGGCCCATGCTCTGTCCACTGAGCCAAACCAACCAGGGCTCCATTGCTACTTTTTTAAAAAGTCCAAAATACATAGCAATAAATGTGAAAAGCTATCAATCACTGGTCTTTGGGTATAGGAGACCATTTCATACCTCAGAAGGGATTGGTGTGATAAAAAGCAAGGACCTACAATCAAGACTATTTTCTCAGCAAGGCCATCATTTAAAATTAAAGGAGAAATAAAGATCCCAGACAAAAAAAAGCTAAAGAAGTTTGCTAA